GCTCCAACGGACGCACCAAAGCCCACGGACGCCCCAACTGATGTACCGAAGCCCACAGATACACCGGGCGGTACAACAGCGCCCCCGACGCAGATCGTTCTTATCACGCCGGCGCCCACCGAGACCAAGTCGCCGATCCTCGACAACCTTCTTGGCAAGACGGACGCAGTGTCCACGACGGCGCCACTGGAAGACGCACTCTTGTCCAAGCAGACACCGGCGCCGACGACGATTCCAGCGGTTGTCACGATCAACCCCGACGATCTCAACAAGCTCAAGGATCTCAACAATCTCGGTACGACCGCGCCGCCATCGTCCGGGTCGAGCTCGGGCTCGAAAGCCGTTGCGAACGACCATAGCGAGAACAAGAACCGTGGCAAGGGTGGGTCGGACGCCACCGTCGCCGACACGAAGCGCGACGTCACGACCGGGTCCGAATCGGCGGCCGAGCAGACCGTGCGCTACACCGCGTCGGCGGTCGTCGGTATCACGGTCGTCATCCTCGCCTTCTTCCAGTTCCTCGCCATGAACCCGTCCTACATTGCGGGCGAAACCGCGCGCGAGCGCCTCTTGGCGCCCAACGCGTGGGAGCTGCCGCTCTTTGTGTCATTTGTGCAGCAAGCCGGCGTGCTCGCCCTCGCCCGCAACGCCAAGGTGCCGCAGCTCTTCTACACCAACTTTTTGGACTCGCTCTCATGGCTCGTGTTTCTCATTCGCGGAAGCGCGCCCAGCAAGGCGGCGAGTGGCGCCGTCTCGAGCGTCCAGCTGGTCGGATACCGCCGACTCGCCGAGTACGATGCGATTGGCTTTGTGCAGTTTGCTGTCCGGTCCGATGTCCGCGAACGCGACTGGTTCCTCCGCGTCTGGGTCGCGCTGCTCATTGTGCTCGCGCTCCTGCTCGTGTGCGTCATTGCGACCGCGCTCTTTGCAAAGTGGGCGTCCCAGCGCGGCAACCCGTTCCATACCGAGACGTCCGACTCGCACAAGCGCAGCGTGAACCTCCGGTCCATCTCGCGCCGCCTCCTCGGCATGTGTGTCATTGTCGGGTACCTCGTGTTGCTGCCGTTGACGATGATTGCGCTCTTTGAGCTCCTCCAAGATGCGTCCACGTCCGGCTTTCCGCATGGCAATGCGATTCTGGCGCTCGTGACCTTGGTGCTCATCTTGGCGGTGCTCCTCTACGGTATGGTGTCGCTCTACCGCTTGACCGAGGCCGGTCTCTCCAAGTGGCAGACGCGCGTCGTCTTTGGCGTGCTCTACTCGTCGTACACGTACAGCTGCCGGCTCTTTTTCGCGGCGCCCGCGCTCGTGCAAATTGCAACCGGCGTGCTCATTGCGTCGGTGACGACGGACCCGCTCACGCAGCTTCTTTTGCTCATCGCGGTGCACCTCGTGTACGTCGGGGCTCTCGTTGCACTTCGGCCGTGCGAGTGCTCGGCGCACTTTGGGTTTATCCTGGGCGCCGAGGCTGCGATCGTGTTGATTTACGGCCTCGCCGCGGGCATGACGGACGCGTCTCTCTCGGTCGAGACGCAAAAGACGCTGTCGTACGTCATTCTGATCCTGCTCTGCATCGTCTTTGTCGGTATGTTTGTGCGCCAGTTGCTCCTCCTCTGGACGTACTCGTCGGGCTGGACCAAGGAAGGCAACGAGTCGTACTCGGGTCTCCCGACACTCCACGACCACGACATGATGGAGAGCGGTCCTGGACAGTACACGATTTCGCTCCAGGGCTCGGATTTGAACAGCTCGCGCGGCTACGACTCCCAGCAGACCGACAGCCCGACCAACACCATTCGCATTGTTGACGGCCACAAGCAGATCCAAATCTAAGCCCGATCAAGAAGCGTCGACCTGTGCTCATACCAGTGTGTTACTAGTCTTCTCGTGTACCAAGGTAATAGTTGTGGGTAATAGCATTCCTTGGGGTTGACAGAGCCATTTGTGGGTTGTAGCTGCAGCGTGTCTTTGGAATCGCACTGTCTACAAGGATTGGGAGGGGCACGTTCCGGAGGGTCGTCGGGGCTTGGGTGCGTCGAGTCGTCGTGGTCGGATGCATAGATCTGGACGCGGAGATCGCGAGTCACGCGGCGGCAAGTTGGGTGCGACCTTCTCGGGCCAGTGCGCCGTGTTGGGCGTGGTGTGCACGGGCGACGCCACAATTACGGGCTACTGTTTGTGGCTAAACATGGCGTTTTCCACCCTCTTGGTTCTATTTTAAAATTCTCGGATGGCACCATTTGGTTCTAGTATCCAGCTTTGGCGTTTGGGTAAATTATTATCCAACATAGAAACTGCTGAAGAAAAAAATGCAGCCGGATCGGCGAATTAAATACAAATTCTTGGCCTTCTACTATGAGACTTTGTATGCAACTCATCCGAATGGGATTTAAACGCAATCGGATTTTGGGGTGACAAAAAACTCTGCGCAGTGTGAGAAACCAACCTTCAAGCTCCGAGGCCACGGAGCAGCGACCGACCAAGACGATGGACGACGACCCGGGAAGAAGCGATCGCACGAGCTGGGCTGCGCATGGAGGAAGCGCTCCGGCGCCTACCGATAGCAGCACTGCGCGGCTCCAGGAAGACACCACAACCGCCCGACGTCCGCGCCACAAGAAGCTTGCGCCGCTGCAGATCCAAAGCAATCCGTTGTCGCCCGGACCGGTCGCGATCGCGTCGAGCTCTTCGACGCCGTCGTCGGACCCGAATGTACTCTTGGCCGCGCTGGGCGGGACGCCCCGCAGCCAAGCAAGTCGCCAAGCAGCTGCGAACGGGAACTCGCCAATGGTAGCGGGCTATTTCCCCACAGACGCTCCGGGCGAGCTGCAGCGGTCGAGCTCGGGCACCGAAGCAGTGGCTACGCATCGTCGGAAGCGCGAGCGCGAGCACGACATGGACGTTGCGCGTCTTCTTTCCGAGAGGGACGACGACGACGAAATGCTCTTGTCCATCGATCCATCAGAGCGCGTCGAGCACCGCAGCACCAAGCTCGTGCGTCGCGAAATTGTGATTGCGTCGCCCGTGGCCAACGATGACATGGAAGACGTGCACGACGACAAGCTCGAAGCGACGGCCAGTGCGACCGAGACAGCGCGGCCCGACGGGCTCCGGCTCGGCTTTGACTTGCAGCCCGTCGACATGATTCTGCACGTCTTTTCCTTCTTGATTGGCGCAGACGACCTCCACAACATGCAGCTCGTGAGCAAGCGCTGGCAAGAGCTCACGTCGCACACGAGCTTGTACCGCCACGTGCCCAATACGACGCCCGACGGCACGATCAATTGGCTCAACTTTCGCAATCTCGGCATCAAGAACAAGGGCACGGAGGGCACATGCTATCGGTGCTACCAGCGGTCGTCCGGGAAGGTGCTCGCGATGAAGCGCGCCCGCGTGTTTCCCAAGGGCGAGGGCGTCCCGTATTACATGCTCCGGGAGCTGGCGGTGCTTCAAGGCATTCACCACCCGCACATTGCGTCGCTCGAGATGATCAGCCTTGCGAAAGACGAGCTCCACGTCTTCTTTCCGTACGTCGACAAGACGCTTCATGAGATCATCAACCCCACGAGCGACCCGAATGGCGGCCGCGTCTTGCCCGAGCACCAGGTTCACTTGATACATTGATACGAATGTATGGATTCTCATGCTGTCGAGATAGATTCGCCGCCTGCTGCACCAGCTGCTGGACGCGATCGCGTACTGCCATCGACGAGGCGTGCTCCACCGCAACCTCAAGCCCAAGCACTTGCTCATCGACACGGATGTGCCCGACAACTATGGTACTTGGACTACGAAAACAAATTGACTGATATAGCAATAGACAATGCGACGCTGCGCATCTCGGACTTTGCGCTCGTGCGCGCGACCGGCATTCCGCGACGGCAGTACACGATGGAGGTCGTGACGCTCTGGTACCGCCCGCCCGAGATTCTCATGGGCGAGAAGCAGTACTCACCGGCCGTCGACGTGTGGAGCGTCGGGTGCATCTTTGCGGAAATGGCGCAGGGCAAGCCGCTCTTCACCGGTATCTCGGAGATTGACCAGCTCTTCCAAATCTTCTCCAAGCTCTCGACGCCGACGTCCGCGACGTGGCCCGCGTTCACGTCGCTGCCCAACTACCGCTTCGAGTTTCCCAACTGGAAGCCGCGGCCGCTCGATCGCCTCTTTCCCCACATTTCGCCCTTGGGCCTCGATCTGCTCGGGAAGCTCCTCACATACAACCCGGACGCCCGCATCTCGGCGGAGAATGCGCTTCGCCACCCGTACTTTGACGCCGCGGCCGGCGGCGTCCCGCGCCTCCTCCCGTCGATCCCGATGGCCAACATGGCGTTCACGCTGCATCGGCAGTACGAAGGCAACCCCGAGTACATGGACCTCTTCCACGCGCACTTGCGCGACGCCGAGCTCAAGCTGTGCAAAGAAGTCAAGTACCTCAGGTACTCAAACAACGACCCTAGTAGACGGCACTGACGACAGGGCGTAGCCGACAAAAGACACTGCGCCCGCTGCACCGTTCGATGCTCGTCGACTGGCTTATCGAAGGTCCATGTTGGTCGGCAAAATTCTGCGCTCACAATATGTGTCATCGATGCTAGTCGTCGACGTGTTTGAGATGTGTTTGCGCACCGCCTTCCTTGCCGTCAACTACACGGACCGGTTCCTTGACGTCGTCATGGTCAAGAAGACCAAGTTCCAGCTCCTCGGCGCGACGTGTCTCCACGTGGCCTCCAAGTGCGAAGACGTGTCGTACATTGGCGTCGAGGACCTATCGATGTGCGCCGACAATGTGTACACGTCGATGCAAGTGCTGCAGATGGAAGAGCAGCTGCTCAACACGCTCAACTTTACACTGGCCGTACCGACGGGTATGATTTTTTCATATTTTGTTGATTTTTGAGTCATTTTGGACGTAGCACTCGACTTTCTGAACATTTACCAGCGCAGCATGGTGACGCTCGAGAAGAAGACGTCGATGCTGGCTCAGTACCTCTCGGAACTCGCGCTGCAAGAGTACAGCTTTCTCAAGTTTTTGCCGTCCGTCGTGGCGACGTGCTGCCTCTCGCTCGCGCTCTACGCTGTCCATGGCTACTCGATGGTACCCCAATTCATCTTGCATCCGCTCAAAATTGCTATGTGTAGACACCGGAGCTCCAAGCCGCGTGCCAGTACAACTGGGACGACCTCAAGGAATGCATGGGCACGCTCACCGAAGTGTACTCTGGCTCGCAGTTCAACGTGCTCACGGTCGTCAAGAAGCGCTACTCGGAAGACGACCGGTGCCAAGTCGCGTCGCTCCTACCGCCTCTCGAGTACAACCTCGCCTTTTGACAACCCTCGGACTCCTTCGTTTTTCCTTTTCTTGTACGTTAAACTACTACTACTCACTTACACGCCATTTCCATTGCTCGCACCACAAAGTCGATCGTGTCTCATGCGGCGCGGGTGGCCGAGCGATGACGCTTGGTGACGAAACCGTCCGGAATGTCACTGTCCACAGTGATCAAACGACCATTCTGAAGCCCAGTTGGAGTTATTGATAGTTGCGATGCCCACGAGCTGGAGTGCTGGCGCGGTCGCCACGGCCGTTGTGGTCCTCATCTTCGCCACCCGCACGGGTACTCGCGCCCACCTGGTGGCTCGTCGTCGTGAATAGCTCGTATAGCGCTCTTTGTGCTCGACAGGTCCCGCTACACCAAGCCGTGCCTCCTCAAGCAAATGCTCTTCGTCGCACTCACCCTTGTCCTCGGCTTTGGCGCGGTGCTAAGTTTTCACATTGCACAAGCCAACGCGTCATCAACGCTGTCGTTCGAGTCGGGCGACCTCCAGTTCAACGTGCAGTGCCTCTTTATCGCATGCGGCGTTGGCGTCTGCGGTGCCATGGCCAGCGCCTACATCGCGATGGACGACCCTTTCTACTGCATCACGGAGAAGGAGGCGCGAACCAAGCTGCTCATGGTACTTCTACACCTCTCAGATCGTAGTTGCTAACGTCCCACATGTCCAGGCGGGCCTCGGCGAAAAAATGACGCTCTCCGCCATGCTCAACAAGCGCAAGACCGAGCGCGAGATCCAGGTCCGTTGCTCTTGGTCCGCAAAGAGATATGAAGAACTGACGATCAACGCAGTATCAAGCGCGCTTCTCCAACCTCCGATGCGTGACCGTCGGGGCCATCTTGTGGTCGATCACGGTGACAGCCGTCCGCCTTCTCGTGACGCAGGCGCGGGTTGGTATGGTGACGACGTCGCCGTGGTGGGTGCTCTGCCTCGCGGCGGGTGTGACTCAGTGTACAGCGTGGGTTGCGTTCTGGAGCATCTTTCGATTTGTGCGCGCACACAAGTACTCTGGGATTCGTGATTGATGGCTACCGTAGATGACCTTTTGGCCCCGGGCAGCGCGCCTACGGTGGTATGCATCGGCGCTGCTCGCTGCGTCAATCGCTGTGCCGCAGTACGTGACGCTCGCGTGCTCGACGCACGAGGTGGACCCTGTGCCGCCAGGATTGGGCGTCGCGGCTCCGACGCTCGTGGCCAATGTCACCTTGGTGGCCCTATCTCTCGTGGTCGTGGTCCTCCTGGGGCTCCTGCACTGCGGCAGCCACCGTCTCTTTGAAGACAACAGCGTGCATGCAATCGTGCCGCTTGACAGCAGCAGATCCAAGCGGCATTTGTCGAGCATCACGTTGCACTCGAGCTCGCGCTCGCTTCGCATGAACAGTGCACGCAGCCTCGTGCTCAACCGCCCGCGCTCGAGTCGGGTCGTGACGTTAAAGTAGCGCGTTTTACATTACGTCTTATTCCTTGGTCTTGCCTTGCATTTCATCGGCCTTCTCCGCCATCTACATAGAACACGCGAGGTAAGCTACAATTACAAGAGGCGACATGCGAGTACCTTGCTCTGCACCTGGTGCAGACAATCCCAGCCAACCACTAGCATGCGCGCAATGTTCTCCGTGTTCTAATACGCACAAGGCATAAGCGATAGCTTGCGCGTAGCATGGAGTACCGTCTCGTGGCGGGCCAGTTCAATCTCCTTCCGGGCGTTCTCGCGCAGGATCTTGGCCCTACGGCATGTGCATAAGCTAGCGAAGCGTACCGAATATGTGGGGTCGTACCACGGCTGGCCTTGCTCGTTGGGCCATTGGAAGGCCCGCGAGACGCGGATGATCTCGCGGTACAGCGAGAGGACCTCCTTCTTGGACGTCACGAACTTGGACATCGGGCAAATGCAAAGGACGCTGCAAAATGCAGCAGGCAGCTTCCTTCCGCCAATGAAACGCGACACAACGAGTGAGCACCAATCAGAAACGAGTATATGCGCCAATCACAGTCGCACATATTTTAACCAATGGCATCGATCCATTTCAAGTCGCCCAATCCTGTGGCGTATCACCTCTCTTTTTCTGCCAATGGCATCATTTTGCAGTCGGCCACCATGACCTCGAACGCCATCGTGCCCTTCTCGTACGCCAGGTGCGCACCGCGATGTACCGGTCGATAGACGACCGACGACGATGCTAGTCCGTTCCATGCGACGCACCTCGACCCAACGCGGACCTTCCACTTTGGCGACCACGCCATCGTGATTCAGCAGCAGTGGAAGCCCGACGGCCGCGGCGGGACTAACCTCGGCTTTGGCGCCCACGTGTACGAAGCCGCCATCTTACTGTCGCTGTACCTGCACAGATACGATCACCTCAATCTCACTCGACCCTTACGTCTCTTGTCGCAGCACACTGCCTGAGCTTGTGCAGAACAAGCGCGTCGTCGAGCTCGGCTGCGGCACAGGTCTCGTGTCGCTTGCGGCCGCCGCCTTCGGTACCCACGATGACACGACGCAATGGTATCGACTTTGCGATGGCTAGGTGCTTCAACCGTGGTGGCTACGGACGGCGACCCGCAGTCGGTGGCGCTGACGCAATCCAACATCACCAACAACAGCATGGGAAACATTGACGCCAAAGTCCATTTGTGGTATTTTCACAGCATATATTGACAATCGATTAAGAGTCTCGAACCAAAATGCTCGTAGGGGTCAGGAGCTTGATGCCATCGAAGCCTGCGACGTGCTCCTCGGTGCCGACATCATTGCGTGCCCGTATGAGCAAGCGTTCGACGACCTTCTGTCGTCGCTGCGGCACTTTGTGGCGGCGCCGTCTGCGATCGCGCTCATCACGTACAAGCCGCGGCATGAGTCCGAAGTCAAGTTCTTCCACAAGCTCAAGCGACATTTTGTCTACGAGATTATCGCAACGGACACCACGTTTCCCGATTTTGCGCCGCTGGGCATCCAGCTCCTGCGCATTCAGCGCAAACCTGCAGCATAATTCACATGCAACTCGCAACACTGTCTGCATACTCTCTGCACAAAGGTGTACATTTTCATGGTATGTCTATCGCGATGAATTTCTTCAAGCGTCCGTGGACGCCTCAAGGAGCGCCCGCATGATGTCGTTGACCTTCTCGGGGTGCACGAGGCCGTTGGACGCCTTCATGACCTGGCCGATGAAGAAGCCGAAGAGCTGCGCCTTCCCGCCGCGGTACGCTGCGACATTTTTTTGGTTTTTCTAGACGAAATAGCAGCATATGAGCGATCCTCTTCACTGGGATTCGATGTGTACAGGCTCGGCGAGCACGGCTTGGCAGTAGCGCGTGAGCTCGGCCACATCCGTGATCTGCGCCCAGCCCTTCTCCTGCACAATTGTCGCGGCCGGTCGGCTGTCTTCGTAGTACATGAGCTCGATAAGTTCCTACATCCACCATTATCCAACCCTTTTCAATAAAATAAAATAAGGGGACCTTGGCCATTTTGCCCGAAAGCGTCTCGTCAACGATGAGATCTACGAGCTGCCCAAGACGGTCGGGCGACACGGTACTCTCAGCAATGCCCGCGTTGGTTGCTACACACAGGGCGTACGGATTTGAGATTGGTCGGATGCTAAAACAGTAGTACCTTTGAGGAGCGAGAAGAGGTCGTTCAGCACCCAGTTGGCCACGAGCTTGTGCGGTCGCGAGCTAACCGCGCAAACGGCTTCGAAAAAGTCCACGGCCGACGGCGTAAGCACCTGCGGTATGGTCATGCGACGTCCATAGAGAATATGTTGACGTACAAGGACCGACGCTTCGTAGGCCGAGAGACCGTACGTCGCGCGGAGCCGCGCCTTCATCTTTTCTGGTAGCTCTGGCAACGTCACAAGTGCGTCGTCGACAAACGCCGGCGTAATCACGAGCGGCGGAAGGTCCGGCTCGGGGAAGAACCGGTAGTCCTTGGCACCTTCCTTGGTGCGCATGCGTTTCTAGTTCGTCCATATTGCATATCCACGTCATCCATCCGCAAGGTCATACCGTCATGCCTGTCGCCGCATCAAACGTGCGCGTTTCCTTGGTGATGCTCGTGCCCGTGGCGAGAATGTGGTCAACCTGGCGCTCCATCTCGTACTCGACGGCCTTGACGAGGTTCTTGATGCTGTTCATGTTCTTGACTTCGACCCGCTCGCCAAATGGAATGCTCGTCTCTTCTTCCAGTGTGCTTGGCTTGGGCCGCACGCTCACGTTGAGGTCGCAGCGCATCGAACCCTCCTCCATGTTGCCGTCGCACGTGCCAATGTGCCGCAGCAAGTGCTGCACCTCGCGGAGCACCTGGCCGGCCTCGGCCGCGCTGCGAAGATCCGGCTCAAAGACGATCTCCATGAGGCCCGTGCCTGCGCGGTTGAGGTCGACGTGCGTCGCGTCCAGCGTGTGGATGCTCTTCCCCGAGTCCTGCTCGATCTGGATGCGGTTGATCCGCACGCTCTTCTCGACCCACTCGTCATCGGCCTTGGTCGCTGCCTTCTTCGACGCGGCGTTTTTCTCCTTTCGGCTCGTAAAGTTGGTCTGCACGACCGGCGTCGCTTCCTGGACCTGGAACTTGAGCACGCCGTTGGTTGCGATCGGCGCGCGCTGCTGCGTGATCTGGTACCCGAGCGGGAGATCGCAGTAGAAGTAATGCTTGCGCTCAAAGACGCTGCGCAGCTGGACGTCGCTCTGGAGCGCGCGGGCCGTGCGCACGGCTTGCTGCACGCAGGCAACGTTCACGCTCGGGAGTGTGCCAGGCAGGGCGGCGTCGAAGAACGAGACGCGCGTGTTGGGCACGAGCGAGCCTTTCGTCGCTGCGCTCGCACCAGAGAAGAGCTTGGAGACTGACTGGATCTGCGCATGGATCTCGAGACCAATGCACACCTCCCACGCGCTCAGCTTGGCTGCGGCCGACATCACCAACAGATTGCACTTTCTAGACTGTAAATAGTGTATGATTAGAACTGGATATATAGTGTGGTGCAGGAACCTCAGCGACGTCAGGGTCGGCAAGAGCAGAGCTCAAGTACGGGTGCCGCATGGGTACACACGATATCAACATGAACAACGCTGTTGGCATCGTGCCCGGCTATCGTTAACGAGACGCATCGAACGGGTATTTGGCACTTGAAGTGGGATGCTAAAAGGAATTAGTGTACGAACATGGGCGACCGCTGATGGCCTCACTCGCTGTGCGTGGCTATATACCAAAGGTAGCACTGAACGCTGTGGAGAATGCAGAAGACCAACGAAGGACGTCGCGTCGTCACGAGCGATAGGCCACCTACAAGGCGTATTGATGAATAGTAGTGCTGCCGAAAAGTTTTGCATAGGCCGAGTTCAACCGTTGATGCATACAGCTGACTTCAACCCGCCATGACAGCAGCAAAATGCGATGGTGTGTGTGACGCAGCGTCGCTGCTGCGTCAACACACGGCACTGGGATGGCGTCGTCGGCGCCTCACCAATGATGCCAGAGAAGGTCCTGGTCCGTGGAAATTTTAACGCGGCTACCGCCAACCGTTCGACAACTGCCTGTCCGGACTCGCCGTCCAGTTAGGCGTCGAGGAGGCAGGAAGATCGGGTGCCACGAGTGCTCGAGACCACCAAAGTAGACAGGATGCAACCTACACTCTTAGTACATGGTCGCAACGCATTAATGTCCTTAAATACTTCTCTTCATACAGGTGGCTACGATGCAGGCGCTAGTTGGCTTCGTCGACGCGTGGTCGCTTTGCATTTGGCGCCGCGTCGTCGTCGTCGTTGATCAATTCCTTGGCGTCGTCGGTGTCATCGACGACCTGCTTCTTCTCAAGCGCTGCACGCTGCCGAGCGTCGCGTCGGGCTTGGCGCAGCTCGCGCCGCTTCTGCTTGAGCTCTGTGGCTCGCAGGGCTTGGATCTCGTCGAGCGTCTCGAGGCGCGAGCGGCGAATGTCGATCGCTTCAAAGCAAATCGAGGCGATTTCTTGCGGCGAAAACGCCGCTCGTTTCAGCACTTCCATGCGGGCGTCGTGCGGCCACTTGGCCACGCGGCCGCGGCGCGCGGGCGACGCGAGGAGCGCCGCCACGGTCTCGTGCACGTGGACAGGCGCGAGCCCGATCGGTGGGCCTGTGGCCTCGGGCACGGCGCTGCCGCCGTACGTGAGCGGAAACTCGTACGTCGTCACGGTCGAGAAGCGGAGCCGCTTGGTCATGTCTTCGTTTGCGTCGTCTCGGAATAGTGGGCACTCGCCACAAACTCCGAGCCAGGGTTTCCGTTGGGCCGTGTCTGTTGCCATCTGGGTCTGCACTTCGTTACTATGGTGCGCGGACGGCGGGCTGTCATGGCTCGGAACACTTCGAGTTTGTATACTTGTGGGAGGCCGCGCACAAGTCGTATTTTATTCCAAGTCTCGGCCATTGCCCGCCATGGCTGGCTCTTGGGTGTTTCTCGCAAATATACTACACCACGAGGCATCGGCCCTCTCCCAACGACTCGCACCGACCCTGCCTCTGCGGCGCCGACTTGAACGTGGTGAGTTAGACAAGTGAAATGTAGAATAGTGTGCAGTAGAGCTAGCGTGCTAAATGACGTGGCAGCACCACAAACGACCAGCGCGCGGCGTCGAGGACGAGGGTGCACGAGGAGCAAGGCAAAATCGAAAGCAATGGACATGCCTCCTGGAAGGAGTATTTGACAGAGCGCCGACGGTGCGGTCGCGACAGGTCGAGACATTCGCGAATAATGCTGACGCTAGTACATCCCGCCACAATCGGTGACCAATGTGGTTCTACACAACCCAGCCAGCATTTTTGGAGACGAGGACCTTTTCATGCATCTGCCTCCATCCAGGCGTTGGCATTGCGACGTAGGGCACTCTCATGGACCAACGAACGCCGCGACGCTGCGCCTCACATGCAATTATTGAGCTTTTGAATGGTGGTAGTGGAGAGTCGAATTTCGCAGCCAGGCCACGCGATTGAAATCGCTGCCCCATGCATGCGCCCGTGCGAGATCGAGTCTTTTCCATCGCGCCGTTTTGCTTCTCGCACTCGATATTTCCTCCAGGAGCATGGACATAGTAAATCAGAGCGAGCTACTGCCGTCCTCGAGCAGAAGTTTGGCGAAGCTAAGCACTGTGCAAACGTGTGTCGCCCCCTCTTGCACGTTGACCTCACCTTGAATTCAATTGTGCCAAACGCCCACTCCGGTACCGCAGCCCATCAACAATCAAGAAGGATGCTGCGGGGACATCTCTCGGCGACACAAAGTAGTCAACCAAGTGGCTCATCTTGGTCATGACACGGTGGAGCTGACTGGATGTCCCTTTGCATTTGGCAGTATTGTTTCTGGCGGAAATCTATGTGTGTAGAGGTCTGTGGGCAGCACTTATTCGACATCTCAGCTAATGAATGGGCTCGTTGAGGAAACGCAGTCGCATGGTGTGTTCATGTCAAGTGCAACAGCCGTGTCACCCACGGCTGTGCATTCTGGTGTCGGGGATGGGCGTGTGGCGCAAGTGGCCACTTTGAAAGCGTCGACTTGCGCCTCGCGAAAATCGACTCACCTTAATCGTTTAGTTGCTTATGGGTTTAGTAGGTCAAGGGCTTCGCCAATGTGCGCCACCAACCTGGAGGAGGCAGTTGAATGTCTGCTACAACGCCCTCGCGACACTCATTGCGCGTCATGATGTGTATCCTTCCATGGAACGATCATGGCGGCTGCACTCCACGCCCATCGTTCCTTGAGATCACCCCAACTTGAACTTGGGCGGCTTCAACCTTTAGTCGGTAGCGACGACTAAAGTGGCAGGTGCCTCGGATGCATTTGATTGGTCCGCTGATCCAGGTGCCAGATCCACCGCAAGAATTCCAGGCGCGGACTCTTCAATCTTGCATCGACCGCGTACGAGAGCTTGCATGGCGTCGTGGTGGCAGTCGTTTGGCCGCATCAAGCCGCTTCCGAGCGCGAAGCATAGCCCGTCGTCGCCGTCCGCGTCGCTCAAGCGCTGCCTCTCAACCTTCGACCTCATCTGCTACGGCGTCGGGTGCTCTGTCGGCGCCGGCGTCTATTCGCTCATCGGCATTGGCGCCGAGATCACGGGGCCGTCGATCTCCATCTCCTTTCTCATCGGCGGCATTGCATGCATCTTTACGTCACTGACGTACTCGGAGTTTGCGGCGCGCGTTCCGGTACTGTAGTGTCGGATGCAACACGCCAGCCTATTTCATACGTGGCGTAGATTACCGGGTCGGCCTACACCTTTGTCTACGTGACGTTTGGCGAACTCGCGGCGTGGCTAATTGGCTGGAACCTCACGCTTGGTTATGGCATCTCGTCGGGTACGTCCTCATGCATATGTCACTCGAACCTCACCTCTGTGGGCTAGCCGGCATTGCTCGCAGCTGGGCGTCCTATGTGACCATGTTCTTGCAGGTACGAAAGGATGATTCGTCTTTAGCCGACGCGCGAATGACTGTAGCAATTCGGTGTCGTCGTACCGCCGTCGTGGGTTGCCATGGACCTTGGTCTCGGCACGCCCTGCAGCAGCATCGCCGCGGTCTTGATCCTCGTGCTGAGCGTCATCTTGCTCGCTGGTGTGCATGTATGTGACCGTAGCGTCGCGTCGTCGTTAGGGTCAATGTATTTCTGCTTTAGGAATCGGCCAAGTTCAACGCTGCCGTGACAGCCCTCAACATTGCAGTTCTTCTCCTCGTCATTGCCGTGGGGAGCTACCATGTCGAGACGACCAACTGGGAGCCGTTTGCGCCCGAGGTTTGCAACCGATTCGAGTTTTCAGATTTCACGGGTCTGGTAGGGTGTCCATGGCATCATGCAAGGCGCTGGAGTCATCTTCTTTTCGTACTTGGGCTTTGACATGGTCGCATGCCTTGCCGAGGAAGTGCCCGACCCGCAAAAAAACGTGCCCCGGGGTATCATCGGGTCGCTCTTGATCTCCATGTCCATTTACGTCGGCGTCTCGTTGGTCGTGACGGGGTACGTACCCTCTTTTCGCAATGCCGCGGCGAACGGCGCGGGTTGTAGGATGGCGCCCGTGTCTGTGCTGGGCACCCAAGTGCCTTTGGTGAACGCCTTTGACTTTCACGGCCTCAACTGGGTACTACGGCTCGAGTTGTATTGAGTTTGATTATGTGATCTGTAGGTGTGCCACGTCATTTCATTTGGCTCGATGTTTGGCCTCACGACTGCGGCGTTTACGTGCCTTATGGGGCAGCCCCGTATTTTCTATCAAATGGCCAAAGACGTAATATGTGCCACTCAGTTCTTGTCGTCTTATCTTATTCTTGATCAACTAGGGACTTTTGCCCGCGCCACTCGCGACGTTGCACGCGACCACGCGGGTATACTCTCGACTGTTTAAAAATGATTCCTTAAATGGCACGTGCCTAGGTGCCATACTGGAGCACAATTCTCACGGGCCTCCTCGTGGCCGTCATTGCGTTCTTCTTTGACCTCGACTTCCTCGCCAATGTCATTTCGTGCGGCACCCTCATGGTACCGCCATTTCTATCCTCGCATATCACTATATATGAGCTAGGTCTTTACCTTTGTGAACGCGGGCGTCTTGGAGTTGCGCTTCGAAGCCGACGTGCCGCGCAGCCGCGTGTCGTTCCCGTGGCGCAACTTTGGCTTTGTTCTATCGTCCTTTGCGTTTGCGCTCACGCTCGTCTGGTCGACGCACTGGCTCTTCCAAGTGTTTGCGGGTCTGCTCTGCGCGGTGGCCTTTTTGGCGCTTCTCTCGGGTCGTCCCCGACCGCTGTACGGCCGATTTATAAATGTATGATGCATTGATGCATGCTGCCGCGTAGGTCTCTCGAAGACGCGGGAGCGTTCCAGTGCCCGTGGGTGCCCCTCGTGCCGTGCCTCGGCATCTTTTGCAACGTCTACATGATGACCAGTCTCCCCCTTGCGGCATGGTGTGTGCAGGCTCTCTCTGTCGACGACTCCGTCACGATGATGATTAGGGTCGGTGTCGGCGTCTGGATGTTTCTCGGTGTGAGTGTGTACCTCTGCTATGGCCTGCACCACAGTGTCCTTCGCCACACGAGCAGCTTCGAGGCAAGTCCGCTTTTGTAAAGGCGACGACGTCCAGATACATATTACATAATAAATCCACCCTACGGATAAAACTCGCGCTTCTTCTCTGCGAGCTCATGGACCCACTTGGCATTGGCGGCTTCACGCTCGAGCCGCAGTTCCTCTTGTATGCGCGCCAGCCGCTTACGCTCTTCGCGGATAAAGAGCGACTCGATCGGCCGGTCTTCGGGGCGCACATACTGCTGCTGCTGCGGCTCGTCATGCGTCTCGTCATGGGTCGGGTCGTACGGCTGCTTCTCGGGCTTGGCCGGCGAACCCGACGGCGAATTGTTGTCGTGGACAATCTCGGCCGTCGACGAGAGCACGACCGCGTCTGTGGGCTCGGCCGTTGTCGTCGCGAGGCCAGCGTACCCGACTGGGTCGGACGGTGAGATCTGCAGCGCGGGCGCCGGCGTGCGCACGACCTGCTTGGCGTCGTCGTCCACGTCGGTGACGTGCTTCTTGGAGCAGCACTGGCCCATGGTATTAACTCAAGTGCGAAGTGGCGCTTCGACTACAACGAGTACTGTCAAGAAAGGGCGTTTTTTTGTTGTTCGCAAAAGATCCCCGCCTCTTTTACGGCTTTGCTGGCACCTGATTGGTCCAATCCCATCGCCACGTTCGACCCAAGCAGCTGCGAAGCGCCTGCGCATCATCCAGCAGCAGCAGATCTCATGGCAGCAGATTTGGCAGCTAGCAGCACCGAAGCTACTTGGCCGCCATCCGCCAAGAAGCACTCGCGGTATCCATGCGTAGCGATCGACAGCCACGCCGGTGCCATCAGCAAGGGCCGCTGCAGTGAGGCAAAGTGACCTCAAACTGCGCGATGGAAACGGACCTTTCCACCTCAAGCGCGCTGCTGTCGCCAGCGTGTGCGTAGCACTGCGATGCGAGGATCCGACCACATTGCCTCCGCGCGTACAGTGCATGTGGCGTCGCTCTCTGTGCCACATTGAAGGCGCTCTGCGAGGCGAAGGAGCAACATAGGAAGAGAAGGAGCGACAGTAGTTGCACACAATCGCGGATTGCCAATCTACTCGTCTTGCTTCTTGGACTTCTTGCTCTTCTTGGCGTCCTTGTCTTTTTTGTGTTTCTTGCTCTTCTTCGCGTCCTTGGTGTCCTCGGGCGCGTCCTTTCGCTTGGTTGCGGCCGCCGCCTCCTTGTGAAAGCTCTTGAGCTTCTTGTACACCGCTTTCACCTGCGCCTGGTCCTCGACAACCGCGTCGCGCGCCTCCTTGAGCTGCTTGACATGGGCGAGCACGTTATGGATCGCCGCGACCTCGCTCGGGTGTTGCTGGCCGCGCTTGCACTGCACGAGGTACTCGTCCATGCAGATGGACGCGTACGTTTCGGGCGCCGACTCGACCGTGAGCTGCAGTCCCGCGAGTGCGAGGCATGCGGGTGCATAGAGCAGCGGCGCGTCTGTCAAGATGAGATCGTTGATGCACGCGGTGGCGCTGGCGTGGAGGCTCTGGAGCGTCGGGATCTTGAGGTCGACGCCGCGCGACTTGTAGAAGGCGCGAATGTCGTCGATAAAGCCCGTGAGCGCGCGGAAGGGATGGTACATGATGAGCTGGAAGCGGGCGCCTTCGAGTACGACCATCTCGTGCGCAATCACTTGGTTCACATCGACCTAGATAACGCGTGGATAATTTGCTTGAAAGCAGAAGCGATGCGCACCTGGAGCTGCTCGGAAATCGAGTCGACGCTAATGTACTGCTCTTCGACCTTGCCTGCAACGTAAATGACAGTTGGCGCAATGTACTTGGGATGGAACTCCATGACGCTGTTGGAGAGGTAAAAGCGCTTGAAGAGCACGACCGCCGCCGACTACGGCACTCGATGTAAGCGACGCCATAAAGACGGGAGATGGACCTTGACTTTGTCGGACGTCCGGAAGAGGCGCGTACAGCTATCCTGGACTTGGATCTGGTAAAAGTTCAAAACGAGCGCCTCCTCGGCCAGCGTAAGCAGCGCGAGCTCGTTCGGCGGCACGTCGAGCTCTGCAAACGGTCCCATGAGCTTCGCTACGTAGGCCACGGCGCGTACCTTCGAGCGTATCGTTCCAATCGGTCGTGTCCAGGACGGCGTTCGTCGACGCTGGCAGGAGGCACGCAAAGGAGCGCGGCTTGCGCGCCAACGTTGGACTCGCCTCGCACAGCTGCAGCTGCTTGTGGCACTTGTTCATCTTCAAGGCGCCGATGGTCCGGAGCTGGTCCTCGGTGAAGACCCAGTTGTTTAGGTGGGTCGACGTCGCGAGGTAGGCTGCCATGGTGGGCGTGTGGTCGGCCGGGCGAAATAATCAAGCACTCCACCGATTGGTCGATACTCGCACTATTTTGACCAATCCCTATCGAGCGGTCAGATTTGGATTTTGATTTGGAAACAGTGTTTAGCCAGTGTATCGTCTAGTGTACAGCGCAATCTATGCCTGGTTGTCGTCGTCGACTTGCAGCGGAAGGCGGCTCGGGAGCGAGTTGGACCGAATGTAGTAGCGGCCAATGGCTGCCCGGGACAGCTTCTCGTGTGGCAGCGTCGGGTGCTTTTGCGTCAGCTTGACAAAGAGGCCTGTCGCGCGGACCCATTCTTGGCCGGCTTCCAGCGCCACGACCATCTCGATCGTCGTCTCGGGCGACGGCTGCATACCGCGGCGCTGCATCGTGTCGTAGATCGCACACACGTGCGAGTGCTTGCCCGCGTCGTTGAAGAGGCGCATGACCAGCGTGCAGGCCTCCGTCGCATGAAGGCCCCGGTCTTCCATGCAGCGCAAGACCGCGTGGGCATCGTCCGGTCGCCCGGCAGCCGCGAGCTCCCGCAGCACGCCCACATACGACATTGCGTCGTTCAAGTGTGCTTGGATGGCCCAGAACGTCTCGAGGAGCGCATCGACGCTCCACTCGTCGCGGTTCGCAGCATGAAACGCGCGCAAGAGCATCGCAAAGCTGGTCGCGTCCGGCGTCGTCTGGGCTTGAAGGGCGTCAAAGAGGCGTTGGCAGTCGGCATATCGCTCTTCGTGCATGGCCTGGCCAAGGAGCGTCGTGTAGGTAATGACGTTTGGCACAAGACCATGGCGTCGTATGGCATTCTCTAGAAAGGTCTCCATCGCTGCTAACGGGAAGGCCTTGGATGTGGTGAGGGCGCGGAGCACGAGGTTCACCGACACAATCGACGGACGAGTCGCCGCTTCGAGGCGCCCGTAGAGGTGCAACGCGGCGTGGGGCAAGCGCGCATAGCCGCAGCCGTCGAGAAGCCGGTTCCAGATGCGCTCGTCGACAAAGTGCGGCGGCATCTCGTCCACAATGGTCTCCATCAGAGCCACGTCGCCGTGCGGCGATAGCGCGTGGAGCAGCCGGAGGTACGTGGTTTGGTTGGGCGAGACGCCGCACACTTGCATGCCCTCAAAGACCTGGAGAGCATCGAGCGGCTTCTTCGTGTGGCCGCAAACCTCGATCGCGGCGTTGAAGACGTCGACGGACGCGTCGTCGATCGTGCCGAGGTATCGCATCGCGAGCGAGAACTTCTTGGCATTTGCACACGTCAAGAGGTACAGGACATGGGTGTCACTGGACGGCGCCACGGTAAAGTCCGCCTACACATATAGCCCGTGAGCCATGTTTTGGCGGCAAGGAATATATGGTAATACCATGAGCCGAAGCACGTCGGCGGCTTCGCTGTACATGCCGTGCCGACGAAAGATGTCCAAGGCGCCATTGTAGACACCAACATCCAACGGGTACTTTGTGAGTCGCCGCAGCAGCGCGAGCACCACGTCGGGTGTGCGGCGAAACGTGCGGACGAGCGAAAAGAGCCCGGCGACCTCGGGCGTCCCGACGTGGGCTTCCTCCATGTGTTCGAGAAGCGCCAGCGCCGCGCTCGTATCCTTCCTAACACACCTCGTCTGTGAGCGGGAAACAGACTGACACGATGTACCGCGCGCTGAGGCCTTTGAAGAGCACTGCATACGTGAACGGCGATGCTTTCATTGGCATGGCGGCCAAGAGGCGCAAGGCACCAGTGACGTCATTTGCGCGCACGAGCGTGTCGATCGCGATCGCATACATGCTGTCACTCGGGGCCGCCACGAGCCGTAGCAAAGATTGCACCCGGTGCACGGCACCGAGGTCGCGCGCCGCCAGTAGCGCGAGGGTGACGCTCTCGTCGTTGAAGACGTTGGCAGCAACCATCGCCTCAAAGAGCCCGAGAAAGAGATGATCATGGCGCCCGTCACTCTCGTGCAACGCCGTGAGCAAGGCGTTGTAGGTCGCTGCGTTCGGTGGCGGCACGAGCGAAGAGGCCATTGTGTCAACAATGCAAAGCACATGGGCGAGTGCGTCCTCCGGTCGGTGTCGCAGCAGATCGCGGAGCCAGTTATTGGCCATCTCTGTTGTCCATCGATCGCCGTGCACATCGTAGTGAACCAGCGAGGAGCAGCGGCGCGAGGCCATGAGCTCGTTGTTCTTTGCGTCAAGCAAGAGATGTGTCGGCTCGCTGTGGTCGTACGCGCGGGCCCGCAGAGCTCTTAGGATGTAGAAAAAGTCGGTTTGGAGCCCTTCGTCGGCGCAACGCTGCAGTGCCGCATCGAAAAGCGACCCGTCCATGCCGATCGGGAGAGGAGCAATCTTATCGAGCCAGCGCGAGAGATGGCATGTGGGCAGCGCGTCAAGTACGAGGTGGGCCATCTCGCCCGAAAGGCTCATGCCATGCGTGGTATCCGCGACATCGAGCAGCATTTCGAACGGGAACGCGGGCAGCGCGCTGGGCGCCACGGCCCGTATCGTGTCGCAGAGGCTGACGCACAGCGAGAGATCGAGGGGCGGGTTTCGTGGCGTCGTAGCTGCCGCCCGCACCGCCACGGCGGTATCGTGGTAGATGGCCAAGAGTGCGCGTACGGCGGGTCTGGTGGGGGCGAGGTCGGCGGCGAGCATCGTCGCCCAGTAGTCTTCGGCCGCAACGACGTCCCGCGACGCTATACACGCTTGGATCAAGCCTTGGTACGTTTGTGCGTTCGGGGCGAACTGGTGCTGGCGCATCGAGCCATACAAGGCACGCGCGTCGGCGAGGTCGCCGCGATGGCCGCACGAGAGGATGGCAATGTTGAACAAATTGGTACTCAGATCTGTGGGCGGCAGCGACTCCAAGTAGCGCATCGCCTCGCGATGCTTGCGCTCACGAACGAGGGCCTGGAGCACGCCGCTGTGGCTCGTGGGACAGGGCCGCATGTGCTTTGCCATGAGCTGTAAGACCTCATGGGCTTCGCGGCTGGAGAAGCAACGACCCGTGTTGGCGATGAGCTTGTTGAACTCGTCGCGGTTCAAGGCCACCCGTTCGTGACGAACCCGGTCGAGCAGCGCCCGCGTCGACTGCTCCACGACCTTCGTCACGCGCTTCATTGGCCGTCGCGATGTTCAATTCGGCATTCCAACTCTAGAAATCGGCACGTGCCGACCTGGGTACCTTTCACGGAAATACCTTGAGTCACCAGCCAGTATGCCGAAGTGCAGTGCATTTCACTCGTCTTTTCAACTCGTGTTGCATGTCGTCTCGGTCGATTGCTGGTGAATGCTTGGTAGCGGTCGCGGAACCGCGCTGCGGCCTCGCAGACGTGGCATTTGCCGAATGCGAACGATGGTCCCGTTGCCGGCACTGGATTGGCAAAAATTGGCAGGTTTTAAGCGCGTTGATTGGTGTAAAATCGTATTTGCATCACGAGAACGAATTGGATTGGCTGGAAAGATCGCGAAACAACCAATGGCATCGAGCGATACTGGTGGTCTGGTGGTTGGGCTCCGATTGGGCTACGGACCAGTGAATGGTGGCAGAATTGAACATCGTTGTAGCATGGCGGCCTTGAGCGGAGTGAACACGTCGCTGCTCGATGGCGACGTCCCGTTCAGCGCGTGCGGCTTTGGCCTTGACAAGCGCCTCAGCAAGGCCTGCGCCAAGATGCAATTTGTGCATGCGACGCTCGTCCAGAAGCACTGCATCCCGCTCGCTCTCCAGGGCAAAGATCTCCTCGTGCGCGCGCGGACGGGCTCGGGTAAGACCGCTGCCTTCTGCCTGCCCGTGCTGCAGAAGATCCTCGCGGCTCACACGCCGTCGACAAAGAAGTCGATCAAGGCGCTCATCCTTGTGCCCACGAAGGAGCTCGTGGACCAGACGCGTGCCCACTTGTGGGAGCTCATGTACTACTGCCGCGACGTGGTCTCAGTGCTCGGTCTCAGCGGCCAAAGCGTGAGTGCGCAGCAGGCGCTGCTGCGTGACGTGCCTGACATTCTCATCTCGACGCCGTCCCGTCTCGTGGTGCATCTTGAGGCTGGCAATGTCGACCTCAAGAGCTCGGTGCACACGGTCGTCATGGACGAAGCGGATTTGGTGCTTTCGTTTGGCTATGGTGAAGACGTCAAGAAGATCTTCAACGCGCTGCCCAAGATCTGCCAGCACTTTTTCATGTCGGCGACGCTCAGCCCGGAGCTCGACGCGCTCAAGAAGGCCGTCTTGCACAACCCCGCGGTCGTCAAGCTCGAGGAAGGCCACAGCGACGGGAAGCTCCAGCAGTACTACCTCCCGGTCGTCAAGAAGGACAAGGACCTCCTCGCCTACGCGCTCATCAAGCTTGGCGTGATCCACGGCAAAGTCATCTTCTTCGTCAACTCGACCGCGGCCGCGTACCGCCTCAAGCTCTTCTTTGAGCAGTTTATCATCAAGGCCGCGGTCCTCAACGCCAAGCTGCCGCACAACTCGCGCCAGCACATCATCCAGCAGTTCAACCGGGTTTGTCCTTCATCATGTGTTGTCATGAGCACTCAGATCTCATGTAGGGCATGATTGACTTCTTGATTGCGACCGACGACAGCGTCGACAAGGACGAAGGCGAGGACGACGAAGCCGACTCGGACGAGGAAGAAGCTGAGGACGAGGACGAGGAGAATGAAAACGAACAGGAAGAGGAAGAAGAAGAGGAAGAAGAAGAGGAAGACGCGGATGACGCGGATGACGTCGCCGAGAACGACGACGAAGAGAACGACAATGAGGAAGAGGATGAAGATGAAGACGACGACGACGAGAACGAAAACATGCTCGATGGCGAGGACGACGAGCCCGAGTTTGGTGCGTTTGGCGACGATGACGAGGACGACGACGAGGCGTCCAAGCCAACCAAGGGCAAGCATGAAGCCGAGGGCTTTGGTGTCAGCCGCGGTGTCGACTTCCGTGGCGTCACGTTCGTCATCAACATGGACTTTCCGTCGAGCGTCAAGTCGTACACGCACCGGATTGGTCGTACGGCGCGCGGCGGTGCGTCGGGCACGGCGCTCTCGCTCGTCGCGACCGACGACGCAAACGAAAAGCGCATTCTGGAGAAGGTCCAGTCGCGCCAAGCGCCGGTCCTCCTCGAGTCGCAGGACCTCGTCAAGCAGCCGGCGCCGCTCGCGTTCAACGTGCAGGAGATCGATTGCTTCCGGTACCGCGTCGAAGACGTGCGTCGCGCGGTGACCAACGTCGCGGTGCGCGAGGCGCAGCTCTCGGACGTGAAGAAGGAGATGCTCAACTCGGAGAAGCTCCGGTCGCACTTCGAGGACCACCCGCGCGAACTCAACTTGCTGCAGCACGACAAGACGGTCGGGAAGGCCCGCATCCAGCCGCACTTGGCCACGATTCCGACGTACCTCGTGCCGTCGGCGCTCCAGGCCCCGGCGCCGGCCAAGAAGCGCAAGCAAAATGTCAACTACGCGGGCAAGAAGAACCACAAGCGCCGCACCGACAACGACCCGCTGCACACGTTTACGCACGACGAGCAAAAGCCCGAGGCGGAAGAAGACCGCATCACGTACGGCGACCGCGGTGTCGGCAAGAGCACGTCGGGCCGCCAGAAGTGGAAGTCGATGCACAAGAAGGGCCACTTTAACCCCAAGACGATCGCCAAGAAAGAGCGCAAGGCCCGGCTCGGCGCCAAGCACTAAGTTTATACTACTATACCGCCTCCTAATCCTACTACTACACTACACCTTAGACGAACCTTCTTCTTGGATCCAGCGGGGTAGTCAACGCAAGGCTACACAAGATTTTTTGCGGAAATGGCACGAGGACTCAAGGGAAGGAAGACAAAGCTGCTTGATCTTACGACTAGAACAGAACGACTAGAACAACACAATAATCAATCATTTGAAACACGCTGCATCTTTCGAGTGAACGGTTCGTACGCCTTGGACGTTGGCGTGGGTCCGCCGCGGTGCACGGCGCGGGTTGTCGTCTCGGGCGAACGTCTTTGGTGCACCGGGGCAGCGCGGACACTCTCTGGGGTGTCGTCAACGTCGAAAAACTTGATGTGCTGCAGGCTGGGCGGGAACGTGACGTACTTTCTGGAGGGACGCGGGGGGCGGTTTTCGGGGAGAAGTGCCGGGCGGAGCGGGCGGGACGTGACGTCCGTGGTTTGCGCAGGGCGAGGCGTGAGGTCCATGGTTTGAGCGGGGCGGAGCGTGGGGTGCGCGGGGAAAAAGCGCCTAATGTAGGTGCCGATCATATTCGGGCCCAGGAGTACGTTAAGCTCCATCTCTTCTTTTGTCTTGAGGTCGTCGACGAGCTTGACCATGCAAGATCTGAGTTGGGACGCCGAGCGCACTAGCACTTCTTTCTTCAACTCGGCTTGCACTGCCAATGCAAACTCGGTCGCGCGTGCCGGTGCGGCATTCGGGTTCTTCTCCATGATGGCGTCGAAAAAGGACGTGCCATGCGACGTCAAGACTGTCGTCGTTGTGCGCAGCGGCGGCGACGTCCGAACGACTTTGGTCGGTCGCTCGACCTTGTCGGCCTCGGGGAACTTGGTATTCATCCACCGTGTAAACGCAGTTCGCCGCAATATGACGATCTTACGCTTGCCCGTGCGCTTGGACCCAACGTTGCGTAGCTGGGCGTGAACGTAAATGAGCGCAAGCTTGTGGCACTTGGAGCTCACGTCCGTCTTGATGTGGGCCAAGAACGCGCTGTAGTTGCCGGCTTTTGCCTTCTCGATCAAAGAATCGCGCAGGGCCTTGAGCTGGTCAGCGGCACGCTCGATTTCGTTCAACTCGAGCAAGGTCGACGTCGGATGGGTCTGGATGCATTTGCCCAAGTCCAGATGCACGAACGAGACACCTTGAAGCGAGTGCAAGGCCGAGACCGAGTCTTCAAAGCGAGCAAAGCGCTGCGGAAACAAGACGACGTCCGTGGCCACGTCTTGTTGCGTCATCACGTTCTTCTCCGTCTTGGTGTGAATAAATACGTCGTTGGCGCCGCCTTTGATTTGCCACAGCAGCGGGCACTCGGAGCAGCGGATGAGCGAGAAGGCCGGCGCGTCCGGCTTGGTCGTCGGCGACTGCCGCGGGACGTGCGCCTTCCCGAGGGCTAGAAGCTGCGAGAGCACATGTCGGACCCCACAGCACCAGGATGTGTACTTCATCTCGAGGAGCGCTTCCTCGTCCATCTTCGACGCTTGGTCGACTCCTCGCAGCAAGCTCAATGCAAAAACTACCCAACTGGTCTCAGTGCAAAAAATTACGCCAATATTTTTATAATTGGCATACATTGCTCAAGAGACGCGAGACGCCCTTTTTATATTCAATGGGCGGTGTTTTTCCGAGCTAAAAGAATGGATCTCAAATCATTTGAAATGCGTTATTCTATTCAAAGATATACAGTGATTTTGTATGCACGCGCGGACGCAGAAAACATTTTCGATTGTATTACAGCCGCATGGATTTAATAGTAAAGGGAGGCGTTTAATTGGCTATAATTTGGAGATTGGCACCAATCAGAAAGTGAACCGCCATGGCGCCAAATGCGACCACGTTCTGCTGGTCATGACAAGTGCACTCATCACCAATGGTTGATCGCGTTGCGGCTTCATAAACACCGACTCATGAGGTACAACTACGTCGCAAGCGAATGGTAGTGATCGTCGTCACTCGGGCTCGTCGACGAAAGCCGCTTCTTGTAGCAGAAGAGACCGATGGCCACGGCGCCGACAGCAGCGCCAATGCTGCAGCCGACAGCGACGCCGACGTTGACACTGCTGCTGGTGGAGGACGTCGTTGCCGTTGGCGCAGCGGTCGTCGACGCGCGGTAGGCGCTGTACGAGACGCAGCCGAACGACGCCGATGCGCAGGCAAACCCGACAGGACACACCGCCTTACCATTGAACGACGTCGCCGTGGTTGCCGCATAGCCGGTAGCAGCGGTCGATTTGTCAGCCACACAAGGAAACTTGGGACCTACGACAAGCGCCGCCGTCGGTTGTAGAGTACATTGGCACATGGACGGGCATGTTTGAATGCCTGTCCAGCCATTGCAGTAGCTCGTGCACAGGGCCGAGTTGTCCGACGTCGATCGCGTCGCGTTGAGGTTCGCCAGCGTTGTCGGCCGCATGCTAAACGAATAGTTGGCCCATGCGACGTAATTGAGCGCCGATTTGAACGCGTCGGGTTCTTGGTTGAGCATGGACGTGAACGCGTCCGTGTTGTAGTCGCACATGGCTTGCGACTTGGCCCGACAGGTTGATGGATCGCAGCAGGCATACTGCGGCGCGCACGTGGAAGCTGACGTTAATGGCGCGCATGTCGACGCCGTCGAGAGGTTGGTCGTGACGCCGCATGCGACGCACTTGTTGTTGCACGATGGCACGAGTGGTAGGAGGTCGTCGACGTTCGCCGAAGCGTACGACAATGCAGCTGCGCCACGGCCATTGAGTAGCTCGATGGCTTCTTCGACTGTGAACGCTGTCGCAAGCGCAGCCAGGAGAAGCAGACCCAGACCACGCATTTTACGTACTTGCGACCCGACGCTCGAAGATCGCTATCGGTTTAAGATCTCTCGTCACTGATTGGCTGCGATTGAAAAGGCCAGACGTCTGCGGGCGCGAGCTGCTAATGGCGTGCAATGCATTACGTTGCGGCATGGACATGCGGCGTGATAGCAGTCCTCTGCCGCACATATCTGCTATCTTCTATTGCTTGTGCACGCCGTTCCTCGACGAGACCAGCTCTGCCCCACACTCGGAGAATATGCCCGTCGTGTCGCTGGCATCGTGCTACCTGATTGGTTGATGGGCTGGGAATCCACGTGGCAGCTTCCGCGAATTGGACGCGATCGCCAACTCTTCCGTGCCACGTCCTTCGCGCAGGGTCAGCTGTGCTGGTCCATGTGCTGGTCAGGGCTGTTGCACTGACGCAACCACGTGCGACGCTGTGGGCGCTGGATCGTTTGGCAGCGCATCATGCACCAATTCGTTCGAGCTACTACGACACATCACAGTAGCTATCATATGAGAAGCACACAGAGAACCATCGCCGAGTGGCGGTCCAAGGGTCCTGTGCGATACGTGGGCGCACGTGGCTTGTCTGCGGTTTAGGACCAAAGGCGCGCTAAATTTGTCAAATATTTCGTCGAAAGCTTCGATGCATTTGTATCGCAGCGTGCAATCGACACCCGTTTTTGTCATTAACTTTGGCCGTTGGACCCTCGTTTGCGTAAGCCCACCTCTTTGTATCAGATTGAAGTGACTCTGGGAATCGAGAACCTTGGACGCCCCATCTGGCAGTTGTCGGAGGTCTCTACTCGGAACTGGCCCTGTGCACTACTCACACATTCCTTTACACTCTCGACCCCACCCGCAGCAAGTGCGGTGGCGCCACGATGCCCATGTTCCCGACCCGCATCTTCACCTCGCCGACGGTCTCGGAGCAGTCTTCGTGGCTCCAGGCGCTCAAGGGCAAGACGGCCGGCGCCGACGTCTTCTCGGCGCTCGCCAAGAAAGCGCCGTCCAAGAAGACGCTGACCAAGCCGTTTGCGCTCTCGAAGGAGTATGTCACTAAGCGCTGGGGTCGCGGACAGGCGGCGGCGACCCCGCTCCAGCCCACGCGCGTGCAGCCGCTCGTGCAAGAGGTTCCTGGCGTGAGCGCGGCCATGGCGCTTCGTCAAAAGGCGCTACACGCTGCTGTTGCGTCGGGGGACCTGGTGCTGACAAAGGACGGGTGCGGCGGTGCTTACTTGCTTTGCGACGACGACGAGGCTCCGATCGCTATCTTCAAGCCGCGCGACGAAGAGTTCATGGCGCCCCACAACCCGCGCGGGTATGTAAGCCACGGTGCAGTGCTCGGCGAAAGCCTGCACCCGACGCGAAAAGGTTTCCGCGTCGGCAATGGGGCTCTCCGAGAAGTTGCTGCGTTCATGCTCGACGCTGCGTACGAGCACTTTAGCGGCGTCCCGGTGACGAGCCTCGTCACGGCGCCGATCGGGACGACGTGGAAGGAAGGCTCGGTGCAAGCGTTTGTACCTTCCGAGTCGTCGGCCGAAGACATGGGCACGCGCCAGTTTTCGGTCCACGATGTGCACAAGATTGCGATCTTGGACCTCCGCCTCTTCAACACGGATCGCCACGCCGGCAACATTCTCTTGCAGTCGACGAACGACAAGACGACCAAGTACAAGATGGTCCCCATCGACCACGGCTTGACGCTGCCATCGTACCAGCACCTCGACGGCGCCACGTTTGACTGGCTCCACTGGCCGCAAGCCAAGTTTCCCTTGAGCGCGGCGGCCATAGCGCACGTCCAGAGCCTCGACACGACCCGGGACGCCATCCTCTTACGATCGCTCGGTCTCCCGGAAGACTGCATTCTGACGATGCAGATCTCGACCATGCTGCTTCAAAAGGCGGTCGCCGCTGGCTACTCGCTCTACGACATTGGCATGCTCGTCCAGCGCGACGGCCTCGGCGACTTGCCGTCGCAGCTTGAAGATGTGGTCGAGCAGGCCCGGGCCATGCT